TGGGCCTTCAGTTACACTTCAGTTTCTGCTAAGCATGTCATGAATTGTGGCAGCTGGGGGACATTAGTAAAATAAAATAAAAAAAACCACCAACAAATAAAAACTCTATACCGCAGAAAATTAAAGCTTCTCAGTTCTGCTTTTGACAGGAAAGCCAAGCTGCTAATGGTGTCTTATTTTTATCAGTATTTTTATTTACCTTTGATTTTTTTTTCTTCTGAAAAATAAAGATCATAAAAGTGCTGTTTAAATGTTCTCAACACGAATGTTTGATTATTGGTATTTATTTTACTTTTTTTTTTTTTTTCGTAAGACATGTTAATTCGTAATGATTAACTTCCTTACTGGTTACCACTCTTGAACACATTTAAATGTGAAAATACCATAAATAAGTTCAGTGGGCTTATTTGTACATTTAAAATTTCTGTAGGAATTTATTTTCACAGCATTTGTTCTTTTGGGGCAGGTTTTCAAAAGCAGCACTGAGAGTCTGCTTTTTCCAGCTTTGTTAGCAGAGAAACCCCAACCCTTCTGCCTATCGAGCCTTCCCAAATCCTCCCTTTCTCTGTCATGTCCTCTGCTTTGGTTGCCATCCTGAGGCTCCTTCAGAAGCTCTGGAGAGAAGAAACATATTACTATAATCCTATACTAGTGTGTCATATTATAGATGTTTGTAACCGTACGGCACACCAACCTGCAGCACTGCACCCAAGTCATAGCCCGTCAGCTATTTCCACAGCAAACCACCCTGCTCAGATGTGGCCGTGCCACTGAGAGCTGCAGGTCCCTCTGGAATTCATTTGAAGTGTGTGCGGTTACGTTTTGTTTGACATCATGACAAATCCCAGCTGCACAAGCAGCCGTAAGATTGCCCTGAAGAAAGATGCTTTCCTACTGGGGAGGACTGCAGTAACATAATTCTGCTTTGCTCCATATTTTTCCCATATTAAAAAAAGAAAAATCATATGAAAAACTGTCTTTCCCACATGTATAAGAACTACTGAAATCCTATTGCGCTCAGGATAATTGTTCCCCACTTGTATTTAATTTTAAAGCTTGCTGCTTCTATTTCAGACCAGAGGGGCTTGTCAACCATTTCCAATTACAGTAGTTTGCCTAGGAAAAGATAAATTTCTGCTTAGAAACCTCACCTTGTCTGTACCCATCCACATACACATGGGGCTGAGCACAACCGGACAGTGACATTGTTAAGTTATTTTGTAAGGGTAAACAAAACATGGTGCATTTCACTGAGGCAGGTCACCATGTGGTCTCGCCAGCAGTTTCACAAGCCATGTGGCTTGAAGGGGATGTGATTTTCAGGTAAATATCGTGGCATGGAGGCATGGAGCTCAAGTCAGATGTTGGCAGTAAAACCATGGGGTCTTCTTTAGGCACAAAGTCAAGCAGAGATCCAACAACCCCTTTTAGTCTTAAAATTAAGGGATTTATATGGAAACATCAAGCTGTTTGCAGTGGCACTGCAAAGGCTTTGCCATGTGTGGGAAGGTCTGATATACCCCAAGGAGAGAGGCCTGGTCCTTCAGCCTGCCTGCAGCACCGATGTCCATGTCCTGGGTGGAGCAGCTGTTGCTCCTAAGTCTGTCCCTCAGGCAATGAATGCACAGGGCGTCATGACAAGAAACAGAAGATTTTGGACAATGTGTTTAGCTGTAAGAAACCCATTTTTAAAAAGGCCTTGCTCCTTTTCATGGGGCCCTTGAAAAACTAGTGTAAATTGGTTTGTCTCTCCCAGAAAAAGAATTTCTTCTTACTGAAATTCAGTTTACTTTTGCCCCTAACTCCTGGTCCTAAAATGTTTTGGGGAAGGGGTGAGACTACCAATGTGGAAATGCAAAGGGATTTTCAGTTATAAAACAAGGTCCTGGGCAGCCACTTTGGAGTGGTGCATGCCGCACTATGGCCATATTTCATTACAAGTGAGGTTAGATTTTGTTGTAGAAAATAACTCCAAACATCGTCAAATAGCTGATGAGGTTCCAGATGTGCCTATAGGTGCCTTTTTGGAGAGTGCTGCTTCTTGGGCTGCTGTACAGGAGGGGAGGAAGCCTGCCCTACAATAAAAAAGCCAGTTCCAGGAAGCAATGCTTTAACTGTTAGATTACATCTCACAGGAGCCATGAGGACTGATTCTGGCTGCATGAAGGCCTCCCTTGTAGTAATATATCTATTCTGAGCATACACAAGTCTCATTAACATTAATAAACTGGCGCTGAGGGGATTTTATAACATCTCTATGGCTGGCTGTCTCAGTTCCCTGTGGCTGGTTCAGCTTCAGCCAGGACTGTGTGAGTGTTTTTTAAAGGGACAGATTGGGAAAAGAAATCAAGATGAGGTAGAAGAGGACTGGGGCTTAACATAGGCATGACAGGTAAAGACAGGGTGTCTTATTGCTGTCTCAGACCCATTTTCTGCCTATGAGATAAACATAGGAATTTTTCTGAGTCCTTGAATGCCATTAAGCCACCTCTTTCTAGCTACATGTGTGAGGGGTAAGAAGAGGAAGGGTGTACTGGTGCTGCCTATTGCCCTGGTCATATCCCTCACTCTTTGCATCTAACCTAGAGTTGTATTTGAGAAGCTCTTGGTTTCCTTTGTTTTTACTCTGCAGGGAAAATAATGTGGCTTCCCAGTCAAAACCTCATTTAGGGACTTGAAAAGTATGTCTTGAGTCTGTGCAATAACAAGACAACCTTGACAAAACAAGTTTGCCTGAGGCAAACTAAGATAGAACTGCACGTCTCCAACAGTAGTTCCTTAACACAGAGAGAACTATGAAAATAAGATGGACCATAACCCTTTCCCAGGTTAGAAGGGACAAGTTGCATGAAATGAAGCTGTGTGATCACTTCTGCCTGTCATTGTTTGGAGTACCATCTGACCCCAAATGTGCTACTCATCCTAGGTGTGGTAAGAAATAAATCAACAATTTCTCAAGTTTTCTCTAGTTAGTTATAATATCTTACACTGCTGCTAGTGGGAAAATCATCGATGAATCATTGCCATGAAGATGATATTGGGGCCTAGAGATGAAGGGTGGAGCATGTGTTTGCCAATAGCAGTGCAGGCACCAAAAAAATAAAAATAAAAAATCGGAACCTTATCCTTCCAGCATGAGGAGGGAGCTGAACATGACCTAGAGGTACTCCACTTTGAATTTAAGTCACTGAAGTGACTTTTTAGTCACTTTAACCTTTTCATGGAGATTGTGAAATTATTTGACGTAAGATAAATGATTTAGAAGGTGAAAAAATAATAAAAGGAAAGAAGTTAGTGGGAACATTCAGTTTAAATAGAAATTCTGAATAAAATAGCTTTGGAAGGTTTATAAATGTCCTGAAGTTTGAGTTATGCAGTCAACTACAGTCAAACTACAGGAACTGGTGGAAATCTCTCCATTTTGTAGGCCAACCCATAGATGCCTATCCAAGCTGGTACAGGTCAGTACCACAGGAGAGACAGGAGGCAGGATTTCCTGATCTCTTCCAGCCTGGCTGAATTTCTTTGTAGCAATTTAAAAACATCAAAAATGTAATATATTTTCTGCCAATTCTTTTCCCTTGTCCAAAGTAGAAACCAACTAGGAAAATATGTTTAACATCAGACATACTTTTTCCCTGCATATGAAGAAATCCAGAAGATGAGTGTTTCATTATAAAAATCTTTCATACTTAAGAGATACTGTCTGCATGGCCTTGGTTGAACAGCAGAGTAAACAGTTGCATAAAAGTGAAAGGATTTAAGATGTGTTAAAAGGGAGTTCATTTTAACTGCAGTACAACTACAATAACATACTTTTTTTTTTTCTTGTTTCTTTTTTCCTTAGCCATGCCAATCTTGTATGAACACTCTCCTTTCCTGTTACTCTTTCACATTGCCTGGATAGGAAATCAAATGGAATGGAGATGGGTGAGACCAGAAAAGTTTCAGATTTTATTGAACTTTGAGGGTTTGTGGAGCTAGTGGCTTACAGAGGTATCACTCTTGAGGATTTAGTCTGTAGCTCAGTGACTAGGAATTGAAGGATGGACCATGTGAACAGACATGAATGAAGAACTACATTTGGCTCCAGTTTTGTCTGTTGTAATGCACAAATAATTTCCAGCCTGAGCTATGTTTGTCTGACTTGTGTGTAGAGACCATGGCATTTTGTAAAAGAAATGCAGCTTTGCTGACTCCTGTGCTTGGAAATTACCTTTTTGGTTACTCAAGCCAGAAAGGATAAACAAAGAAAACAATATTAATAAAACATTAAAAATCAACAACAATAAGAAAAGACACCCAGCCCAGCTCTTAATTCAGCACAGGTCAGACAATAAAGTTTATAATCACGCACTCCATGCTGCTCTGCACTCAGAGCCAGCAAACTAAACTGGCCAGATTAGTTAATCTTCCTCAGCTTCGTCTTGGGCCCTATAACTACTGCGGCAGGTCATTAACCAGCTGGTGAAGCCCCGGCACATCGTACATTTATTCCCAAACCTTAGCAGCCGTTGTTGAGTCCAGGAGCCTTAAAGAGGTATTTCTGATGTTAGCTGACAGAACAATAATTTATGCTTGCCGTAATTCAAAGGGATTCCAAGGCAACTGTAAACTAATGAAATCTGAATAGTTTTTCCTCAGAATGTTCCTTATTTAATCAGTTGAACAAAGATCAAAATATGCAAAATGGGCAGTTTTTAAAAAATGTTGTCTTTTTGTAAAGAGGAAGATAAATGAGATCAGAGGATAGAGAAAAGAAATATAGAAAAATGTTTGATTAATGCAAAATGTTTATTCTCCCCACAGTTCTTCATTTTTTAACTTTGCTGTTCATCACTGCCAAAAGTAAAAAGCAAAGAATGCAATGTCTAGTAAGTTTCGTAACCTAACAGAGGTATTGCTTTCAGCCAGGATTTTCTTTTTCTTTCTTTTTTAACTTTTTTTTTTTTTTTTTCCTAAATCTCAAATGAAAGGATCTCTTTAATCAGATAATTGACTGGCTGGTAATTTTAGCCTTTTGTGACACACCAGTTGGCAGGTACAGTGGTAGAGAACCATGAGCCTTTCCCTAAAGCCTTCTCTCCCTCTGGGACACTCACAGACGTGTCTCTGTCTTATCAGTCCCAGGGGATCGTTCCCAAACATTTCACAATGAAAATGTGCAGGAGGGCCTTCCCCCCCTGAAAAGGAGGGCCAGCTGTCAGAGGTAATGACTGCCTGTGGACATACAGATGGCACTAGAGGTGCTCCCCGGGTCTATCGCACACCTGAAGAAGGCAGTGTCCACTGCACAGCTGTTCCCGTAGGGGCAAACAGGGGGCATGCTCCGTTCCCCATCCTGAGGTTCAGCATCCTTGCCAGGCTGGGATAGACTTGGTCAGGATGGACACAAATGTCCCCAGAGCGTGCTATGCTGATGGAGAAGCAGGCATGCTGCAGTGCATACAGCACCAGGTCCCAGGAGATGGTCCTCTGCAGTTACTGTCTACTCCGTGCTTTTATCCCTCCATTGCTCATCGCGTTCAGTGGCGGCCAGGAGCAAAACGTAACTTGCTGCATGACTGACAGCCTTTAAAGAACCTCAGCAGACCTTGGGCCTTATTTTGAAAGGCCCCTGAAAGAAAAAGGATTGTGTGCTCTCTGAATGTGAGGCCGCTGAACTGCTGCCAACTCCGGGCTGCTCCATTCAAAGGGCTGAGTGAATAAATGAGAATAACATCCTTGGGGACCTCGAGGATCGGTTTACGCTGAAAATCCTCAGCCTTACAAAGGGTCAGAGTCACAAGGTAAATGAAAATGGCTGGGAGGGGACTTTGATGGCCGAAACACTGTAACTGTAGAGGACTTGAAAGAAAACTGTATTTTCAAAAAGTGAGAGAAGGGAGGGAGCAAACAGGGGGTGAGGTGGTGGGGAGGGGTACTTCAGCCTGCAGTCTTGCCAGAAAGGAAAGAGGGGAATGGGAAGAGGTGAAAGCAGCCTCCCCAGTCCATTAATCCACAGCAGTCTCTAAAATATTGCTATTTAGAGTAAAGGCACTGATTGTAGCAAGAGAGACTGTCCCTTGCCTTGTTACCACCAGGGTATTTCTTCTGGGTACCTGCTAGCTCTCAGGGCACAGGAGGCTTTTGGGGCTGGTATTGAGCAAATAGAACTGGGGTGCAACTGCACTGTGCCTTAAGCTGAAAAGCTTCTGTTCGGGGGTTTCAGGTGAGAAAAAAATATATACACACACATTAATGAGGAATGTTTTGAACGGCATTTTGGAAATAGGTTTGCACAGGTTTGGAAGGCAAATGTGCATGTGTGCACTTGGTGTGGGTCTGCTTAAGATTTGTTGTGCAAATGTCAGTAAGTCATATAAAGCCAGATCTGAGTTAACATCTTGAGGCCAGCGGGAATTAGACACCTAAACACTTCAGTCTCAAATCTCTGGCTCTCATTGGTCTCATCTCTTTACCTTCTGTTCTCCAAGCAGTTCCATTAATACTGACAGTAGTGGAGTTAAACACATTCCTAAGCATTTGCAGGACCAGTATGTAAGTGACTCAGAGCAGCCGCAGTTTCTTATTAGGTGTTTGTATAGTGCCTGGCATCTGGGCCCCATCTCAGTTGGAATTACTGTAATTCAAGCCCTAGTAATTACAAAAATAGGTTAAATACTGAATTATAATAGTTTTCTGTCAGATTCTCTTCTGCTGGTTAAATATTTTTTTAAGTCCTCTAATCCAGGATGCCCAGCTGACAAGTGCATAGTTTTGGTCAGAAGCTAAGAACTGCTTTCCAAACAGCGTACTTCAACTAAGGGGGAATCTGTCTCCATCAGTGTTTGTAGCTGAGCTTGTCTTTACTCTCACACAGCAAAGATGACACCTGTGAGCCACTGAGATAGTCAGCATTACCTATCCCCTGATGTGATGTTAGTAAAGACTCTGCTAGTTTTAAATATTTCCCTTATTTAAATACTTATTCTTCTCTGTAATGAAGGATGTTAAAAAAAAAAAAAAAAAAAAAAAAAAAAAAAAAAAAAGAATATCCTACTGGAAACAGAGAAATGAAAGCTTGCTGCATTTATATGTTCAGGTCAAGATCCATCCTCCATGAAGAAGACTCTTGCTTTTAATTTCCACTGGGCTTCATGCTGTTGTATGCTCCCCATCTTTGAATTAAACTCTCATTTATGACACACTTTTGGGGCTAAGAATGTTAGAACCTCATTCTGGTGCACAAAACAATGGCGGGCAGAGAACATGCACTATCCTATTTTGTTCTCTGAACAAGCCTCTTAAGAATTTCTCCTGACTTGGGGTCTAGGCAGGGAAGGACCTGAAATCCAGTAAGGGGCAAGACCGTGCTGCAGCTTGCCCAGGTTGTGCACGTTACTGGGATTTCCTTTTAGCCTGTCACCTGCCTAAAGCAGGGAACATTTTTATCTTTAAAATCTCTACCATCTTTTTCAAATTTGGCTGAAACAGGCCAAAGGCCTTATAAGAGAGTATCTCTGGCAAATACTTGCTTATGCACTCACTCAGAGAGAGTATTGGTATAAGACTCTTTTCCTTAGGAAATCAGGCTGAGAAAGCAGTCTGATACAGAGTACACTCAATGCTATATACATGCAGTATAATTCAGTATACCTGTGAGCATTTATTATACAAATGACCACATATGCACATGCACACACACGTACGTTTCTTAAAGCCTACAGGAAGCAATTAAGCACAACCAATCATGTAAAGATAATTATATTTGTTTTTCATAAATGACTTTTAAAAAGGATTCTCTTCAACCAAACATTTGAGAAATGTACCAAATTGGGATTTATCTCAATTATGCGTGCTGAGAATTATATGATAGGCTTTTTTTTTTTTTTTCAGGAGAAAAAAAATGAAATGGCACATGTTGTTTGTTAAAATTAAGCTAACAGTTTCAATCACATTTCTAATACTGTGGAACAGCTAACCAGCAATGTGGGCTGTGAATAAATCCATCTGATACCTACTGAAAGATATGTGCTTTAGTTGTTCTTCACCATGATGAGCAAACAGTCTGTTGTGGAAATGATTCATTTTTACAAAAAAATGTGAATAAGGAAAAACATAAATGAGGAGAAAGGCAAATGAGCAGAATGAATAAACTTGATTACTCTCTACAAAATCTTTCTATAGATGGTTTCAGATAGGTATGGACAAAGAGGTGTATGTTGCTGTTATAGTGAACAGTTCATGGTTCCCTACCATGCAGTCTTCTGTAAGGATAATTTTGGGCCCATATGGGTCATATTTATTTATAAAGGGACAACTTGTTTTTAGTTGACAAAAAAACAGAGTGGCAAAGTTTAACTTAATACAGTTAGTGCCAACATTTGCTTTGATGTAGTCCTTCTTCCCTCGTTTCCTACAATCGTTTTTTAAAAACTACGCTTTAAGCAGATAGTTTTCAGTATTTCAGTTGTCTTCTGTGCATTTGTGCTTTTGTGAGTGTGGGGACAGGCAGTAGCTGCCCCACAAACTGTCCTCTCTAAGCTATGACTTTTTGCTTGATAATCTTTACAAACGCGGCCGTCCTTACATTGCTTTTCCAGCATTTCCTTGCACTGGCAAGACTTTGGAGTCCCCTGCGAGCAGTTTGCGTGGGAGTCAAACGATTTTTTATCCAGAGCTGTGGATTTAACTTCAGCCTTCAGAGGGCAGCCCAGGGCAGGAGACAGCCCTTCACGCCTGAGTGGGCCTACATGTGTTTTGCTGCTACCTGAGCAAGGCCTTGCAGGGCCGGCCAGGAGTGAACACCCCTCATCCGCCATTTGGCCAGCCCTGAGACCTCCTCGTGGGTGATACCCAGACCCTCCTGTAACGTTGTGATCCAAGCCATTTCCAAGACAGCATTACTGATTCATGGTGTTACTATCCACACGGTGTGGTCATGCAAGGCGATACCCAAGCGCAGCTCTCGGGTCGTGACGGAGACGTGAGGTGACAGTCCGTTGTGTGGAGTCTGTCGGAAAGGGAGGAAAGGCACCCTTTTGCTGTGCTCTGTGTCTGTGCGATACAAGTTTGCCTGTAGAGGTGGGTACTGTGCTTCTCTTTTAAGAAATGAAAAATAAAAATCACTTCTTCAGTAATTCATGTAAAACCCTCTCTCTCTCGCTCAAGTTTTCACAGGGATTAGTTCTGCTGGTGTGAAACGTGGAGGATGGAGAAAATGAGTTGAGAGTGCCTCCCCCAAACAGCACGTGACTTGTTCTATTTCATTCTAAAACCCAATAAAAGTAATTTAGATGCATGTTGAAAGACTCAGTGGCTTCCAGCGGGCATACCACATAAGCAGTTGGTATCCTATCTACTTCCCTAATCTTGCTTTTAATTCTCTTTTCCTTCACTTTCTAATATCAACTTTCACATAAGTTTGTATTGCCCCAGGCCTTCTTGTTCTATAGATCAAATCACTTTGAATATGAAGAAGTGAGTTGATTTATAAGGGAAACATTTCCTTGATGGGCACTAGGAAAAAAAAACAACAAAAAACAAAAAACACCAGAGAATTTTCTTGATGATCCATTTCATTTCCTATTTATGGTGCTTACAAGACAACCTCCCAAAAATGCCCTGAGAAAATGTCCCTTTGCCTAATTAAAGGATTTCAGTTAAAATAGTGCATTTCCTCCCACTCAGTCCCCCTCACTCAAATTTAGGGTAATCAGGAAACCTTTTTCTGCAGGAAAATTTCAACGTTTAGGCTTCTGAGCTGGCTGGCCATCATATGCAATGTAGAGAAAATGCTGGAATGTAAAGACGCTTTTGTATCACTGCTTTCATTCTGCATTATAAAAGCACCACAATGTCAGGAGGGAAAGGAAGGTTTTACAATTGGAAGAGTGCAGTTTGGGGAAGAAAATCAAGTGTCCTTGAAAGTATCTCCTGGGCTGTATCACATGCACTCATGGATGCCAGCAACTAGGAATGGAATAGCACAAGGGAAACAGGACTGATTTCAAACTACAAAAATGCAAGAGCGCTGCAGTATAAAACTGCTGGGGAAGCACGATAAAAATGCCTGACTGCACACCTAGTTTTAGAAGAGAAGAATGTAGACAACCCCATAAAGTCTGGACAATTCTCCAAGGAACAGAGGAGCTGCCTTCCTGATCAGACCTGTGTTGCTCTCCAGGCTGAAATCTTGCTCCAGGTCTGACCTCCACCAGATGCTCCAGAAGAAGGCAAAAAAGACCCGAAAAAAAAAAACACCCTCAAGTAAGACATTAAGGGAATAGTCTGACAATAATGAAAAATTCTTCATAATTGCCCTCTGTAAGTTACTGTCTTACAGTCACAGCAGGAAAGCTTAGTTCACTTCTAAAATATTTTTAATATGCACAGCACACATCTATGCAAGCATTTTGTAAGTTAAGTGCTCATGACTACATATAAAGATCATATATTCCAAATAAAAGCATGCAGAAACAGATTACATAGTTTAAAATCTGCCTCAGGTCTGTGTGTTAAACAGAAAAAAAAAAAAAAAAAAAAAAAAGCTAAAATGAAAAAGTATGAGAGTGAGACAGGCACTGCCTACATATTTTGAATGGGTGCTGATTCCCATTCTCAGCTGATTCCACTATTCCCCATTTGCTGTCCTTCCTCACTTTTTAACCTGGAAACATGCCCCAAGGAGGTGAGTATCTGTGTCAGACTTCCCCAGCAGCAGAACAATTATCAGTGGCCTAGGATTACAGCCTCAAACGTGCTCACAGTTCCTCCAGCAGTCCAGCTCTCGTCCTTGGCATGTGATGCTGATAGTGCTATGCTCACCCGCTCAGGGAGCCTGCAGCAACCAGCCCACCAGGCTGCTCAAGGAGCCAGCACCACACAGCAGAATAAAGTGCATGAGAAAACTCTTTTGATTCATATGTGTCTGCAATACATTTTGTCTACTTCACTGGCTGGGAGGCCAAATAATGCCTTTTCTTGCAGGATAGCAAAATGAATCATACTTTCTGTCTTAGGAGTAACATTTATGTGTCTCTGGGAATGTGATCCTTATTCTCTCTGTTACAGACGTGAGCCAGATGCTTTCCTGTAGTTCAGATATGTGCAAGATACCTTTCTTTTTCTCTCCTCTCCTCTCCTCTCCTCTCCTCTCCTCTCCTCTCCTCTCCTCTCCTCTCCTCTCCTCTCCTCTCCTCTCCTCTCCTCTCCTCTCCTCTCCTCTCCTCTCCTCTCCTCTCCTCTCCTCTCCTCTCCTCTCCTCTCCTCTCCTCTCCTCCTCTCCTCTCCTCTCCTCTCCTCTCCTCTCCTCTCCTCTCCTCTCCTCTCCTCTCCTCTCCTCTCCTCTCCTCTCCTCTCCTCTCCTCTCCTCTCCTCTCCTCTCCTCTCCTCTTTTCTTTCCTCCACTCACATTTTCTATCTTTCCCTTGCATTTTGTGGTTACGCAGTCCTTCTCAAACAAAAAGAGCTTGCTCTTTCTTTGTATGTGTGTAAGGGTGGGGAAAGTTGTTGTACAACTGGAAAACCTCTTGATTCCACAGTTTAAGTGGGGATTGCTTCCGCATTACTGTCAAGATGTCCTTTAAGTGCCACTTCAGTCTCAAGGGAATGCCTTGTTTTAGTAACTACAGACAGGATTATCTTAAAGAGATCTCATTTGTAGAAGTCATAGGCACCTACCACCTGGGAAGCTGCTACAAGTTGGACACACTAAATCATCTGACTAATCTTGAGCTCCACTTCTGCAAAGAAAGGCTGAACACCTAAGGCTGAGAAGAAGCAGGAAGACTGTTGATTGGCTTTGCCACTGAGGCAGGACTTTGCCATCAAGTCTAAGATGTGTGAAAACTGCTGTAGATGAGCAGATGTCTCAACCCATCCGTGGCCTTACTGGTTTCTTTCCTGAGCATAAGGGCAAAGGAGTTTTAGGAAAGGGTCTGAAAACCAGCTGACTTTGTGGATATTTGCAGCCAACTCTTCCCAACACAGGGAGTCCCACAGATGTGGTTGCTTACAAACGTAACACTTCAATGCAGATGGGTGATAGGGGGAGTCTGTCTCTGGGTACTGGCTGGGAGACAAGACAGCTGTGAAATGAAGCCTGGTGCCTTATGTTTGATGAGGCAGAGGTGGGGCAAAGAGAGAATGCTGTAACACAATCAAAACAGAGAGGCTGGAAAATGATCTTTGGGTGGTGTTCTCCATCACTGTGAGCAGTGGAAATTGTCAAGTAGAGAGGGAAGCCTGTGGCTTCCGTGGTCTCCTGTGCTTCATCCAGACCAGGACTGAACAAGCCTTTTAATCTATGCTGTACTCACTTTACTAGACAGATTTATATATTGTGTAAGTGTTACAGAAAGGTTCCTGAGACGGTATTTGTTCTAAATCCTTCCTTTTTATTGTGCTCACAAGTGACCATTAAAATCAGTATCTCACAGATATAGTGGATACCTGAACATCACAGCCACATTGTTACAGCTACAGAGGATGTGAGAAAAGAGCAGACTCATCCTGTTAGCTCATTTCTGTGGCTGCTCAGCACTAAGGCCATGCTGGCAGAGAAGGGTGTCCCTGTGTTCGTTTCCTTCACCTGCTTGTGCTCAGTGCTCCGCTCTGCTGTCTAGAGAAATTGAGTGGTCTTTGGGTAAGCCAGGGCAGACCACAGGTCTGCCTGAGCCATCGCTAAGTGGCCATTCATAGCATGGTTGTGTGGGCACAAGAGGTAAGCTGGGGAGAGATGATAGGAAGGTGGACTTCTACCTTTTTCCAGAAGTCTGGTCTGTTTTGGGTGGTCTTTCTTCACCCTGATGTTCAACTGGCTTCTGCTTTTAAACACTTTCGGTAGTTGTAAATGTAAATGTTGAGATCCCCAGGAGTATTATTGTGATGAATCACACAGACTTTCAAAGTGAGCTGCACTCTGGCAGGACAGAAGGTATTTGGAAATCTCAAAGGTAGTGCTGGAAAAGCCCTTGATGGGGTAGAAAGCACAGCTTAGCAAATCAAATTATTTGCAGAATGGCATCCTTTCTGTCATATTTCAGCTGGATGCCCTGTTTGCACTATTGTGTATCCACTCCCGTAGCACCTATACTAGGTTATACTAGGTTAATCCAACACTCTTCCATTCCTCAGCTGCCTTCTAGCATTCTCTTCTTCTTCTTGTTTTTCTTTTTTTTTTTTTTGTTTTGTTTTGTTTTGTGTGGTTTTTTTTTTTTTTTTTTGATTGTTTGTTTTTCTGAATCCTTTGTCACTTGTTGGAATTTTTGTAGCATTAAAATACTAAAAAACAAATAGAGATTCATAATCAGAGCTGTAGAGTAACTGTACATGAGAATTTGTGGGTCTGTGTTTTTGTAAACATGTGGATTGCTGTTTTTTAAATTCTACACCATATTGAACCACAAGCTGTTATTTAATTTGCTCTTCACCAGTATTGCAATAGCGTCATTGCTTTTCAAGGATGTTTTCTGTCTGTTGTTAAATACTTATGCCTACTTATACTCCTACTTTTGCACATGGGTTAGAAGTCTTTACGGAAATGCATTTTCTCTGCCACATCAATGTTAGTAAATTAATATACCATTCAACCTAAGAAAGATATTCATGCCCTTTTTGAAAGACAATCAGATATAAAGACATGTCCAGAGATCAACACTGATTTATGTATTTTTTTTTTATTTTTTTTTTTTAATGTTATAAAATGCTACATGTAAAAAGTTCGGTAAGGGCTAGTGGTACCGAATAACTACCAACAAGGTGAAAGAAGTAGCCTAAAGGGCTCAGGAAGGTTGTAGACAAAATCTGGAAGGTAAGAATAAGACAGAAAAAATGAAACCTGGTCTTAAATAATCTGCTTCTTGGGTAATTAATGACATAGACGTAAGTGAACAATAGTAATACCCAGGCAGAAAAATTAGATATACACCTTTTAATTGTAATAAAGTATTTATCATACAGAAGAACATATTGATTTAGCATCATCAGCACATTGGCTCAACACCACAGTCTTTCTAAAGAAGAGCCCACAAGCACGCTCAGGGGAATCAACCCCTTCTGACCTTAGGAAGCAAGTGTTACGTTTCCCTTCTACACATGCCTGAACAGGACCGGAGTTGTTAGAGGCTTCCCTCCAGTCCTCAGATTAAGCTCAACTAGATTGTCTTTTTAGGTCTAGAAGACTCTGTATGATCGGTGCTGCATGTGATGCATGGCAAAAATAAGATAATTAAAAAAATACTTAGGATAAAGAAATTAATAAGGTAGGTTTATTATGTGTATTATACATGCTTCTTCTTC